CTCCGCCCTTAATTTAATTTCTTAAATTAAACCCAGGGCCTTTGCACTGAGCTATATTCCCAGCCTTCTTTTTTTTTTTCACACAGGGCCTCACTAAATTGCTAAATTATCCAGGTGTCCAGGTTGCGCTTGAACGTGTGATCCTCTTGGCTCAGTCTCCCAGAGAGCTGGGATTACTGGCATGTGCCACCTCACCTGGCTTAATTTTAATTTTTTAAATAATTACAAAATAGTACAGGAGGTCCTGTGTGTTCTTTACCCTTCTTCCCCCGATAATCCCATCTTTTATAACTATAGGCCAATTCCTTTTCGTCTCCTAGTGACACATTTTCTAGTTGCATAATTTTATTGCTTTTTGATAAAGTTTATGGAATGCATATGTTTGTATATAGAAAATGAATGCTATCATCTTTTGGTTTAGTAGATGAATCTTTTATTTTATTACTTTCGAGTGGGCAATATATGTACATGTAGCAATATTCAGTAAGTTCAAAATATACAGGGAAAAGCAGGTCTTCTTCTCTTCCCTCCTTCTCAGTTACCTATGTGCCTCTCTAGAGACAATCTTTTTTATTTTTTAGGTACTGGGGAGTGAATCCAGGGCCTTCCCCGCTGAGCTACATCCTCAGCCTTTTAAATTTTGAGACAGAGCTTTGTCAAGTCATTAAATTGCCCAGGCTGTGCTCAAACATTTGATCCTTCTGCCTCAGCCTCCCAGAGTGCTGGAATTACAGGCATGTACCACAATACCAGCCATAGACAATCTGTTTCTTAAGTCTCCATTCACTTAATGTATGCAAACCTTCATGTATCTAGTTTCCCCTTGCCCACATCCCCCCTTCCATTGTAGCATACTATTGGACACTTTTTTTTGCTTAGTAGAACATATTGTGCAAGTTCACAGTTTATTTTTCAAAATACCTATAAAATATGTATCCCATTATATATTAAATGAATGTACCATAATTTAGTTAACTAATTCCCCATTGATGGGCACTTAGGTTTTCAAGTGTTATTTTATATTTTATGTATACACTTAGGTTATTTTATTATTAAAAACAACACCACAGTGATTATCCATACCTGTTTTTATTTAGCACATTTATAGTCTCTTTAGGTATGAAAGCATATGTTTATGAACTTGAAATGCCCAAACTTCCTTATTTGGTCATATAAATAGAACCTTGATGGTAGAACTTTTCCGAAGCTTTGTACGGTGTTTGGCCTAAGTCTGTGAGATCTGCCAAAAATTTGGTAGCTTTAACTGATGGTAATGCACCTATTCTCAGTTATTTTCGTCTGAGTAGTGTCTGATAAATGGAGAAAAGAATAAGTTACACTCAGGATGATTTACCAGGGATATGCCATGCAAGCTAATGAATATGCATTACTTGTTTTTACTCCTAACATTTGATCCAGTTTGCTGATTCCATCCTTGCCCTTAGCTGGCAAGTCTTATCTCTTATTTATTTGAAGTTATTTCTATCTCCCTTCACTGCCTGCCAGATCGTGGTGAAACTTCATTACTTAGTAAATACTTCCATTTCTAAACAGCTTCATGCTGCTGAGAGATGAACTGTTGTTACCTCTGTGTTGCTAGCTTCTCTTAACTGTACCTTTCCTTAAGCACAGTTTTAAAGAATCAAAACCAATTTCTTTTCTGAGCCGTGTCTGGGTTTATATCGCAGTTCTTGAGGGAAGTACTATTCTTCTCCATACTCAGAATTTATTTTAGTCTGATGAAACACAGTGCTCCTAAACAGCTGTTAACAATCTGCTCTAAATGTCTGCAAAATAGGAGGGATACATGTTGATAAGTTTATCACTCATTTATTTAGTCATTAATTCATGCAACAAATACTTATTGAGTGTCTACACTGGCCAAGTAGCTATGGCCTGTTAGTGAACAAAACAAAGGTCCCTGCCATTATAGGGCTTGTTCACTGGCATGTGTGCATAGAGGACAGACAAAAATAAGCAAATTATTTAGTATGTTAGAAGATGATAAATGCCACACAGTGGTAGGAGGCAGGGCAAAGGAGGTTAGGATCAGGGGAGAGGAGGCACATTGCAGTTTTAAATAGAGCAGTCAGAGTAGGCCTTGGGAAGGGTGTGAGACTTGAGCTAAAAAGAGCATGAACTATCCTTACACAGTATCCTGTGCATGCATGCACACACACTTGAATGAAAATACCACTGAAACTGGGTGTGGTGGCACATGTCTATAATCCCAGCACTCTGGGAGGCTGAGACAGGAGGATCAAAAGTCTGAGTCCTGCCAGACTGGGCAATTGAGTGACTTAGTGACACCTGGACTCAAAAGCAAAACAAAACAAACACTGAAGGCTGATATATGTATTTCTTCAGGTGCTAGGGATCAAATCCAGGGCCAAGTACATGCTACGCAAGCATAATACCCCTGAGCTACATTCCCAGACCTGAAGACTTGAGTATTTTTTTAACAGCTGTATTGAGATATAATTAACATACCATAAAATTCAGCCTATCAAAGTGTACAATTTAGTGGTTTTTGTGTATTTATAGAGTGTACAACCATCACTATTATCTAATTCTGGTATATTTTCATTATCCCCCAAAGAAACACACTAGCAGCCACTACTCAATCCTACTTCCCCCAGCCCATAATAACTACTAACCTACTTTCTAATTCTATAGATTCTGGGCATTTCATATAAATTAAAACATAGTATATGTTTTACTTAACATTATATTTTCAAAGTTCACGATGTAGCATTTATCAGGATTTCCTTTTGGGGGACTAAAATCCAATTGGATTGGTAGACTATTTTTATTTATTTATTTATTTATTTATTTATTTCCCCGTTAACTTTATTGATACATTTTAGGTATAAAATACAGTTACATTCATCATTGGGATCTTGTACCATTACATGAGTCTCTTGGTTCT